TGAACATTTGACAGTCAACTCCTATTGATATTCCAGTTTATATATTTTGCTCATTCATAAATGATCTGTAGTGAAACAGATGAGACCAGGATTTACATGATTGCTCTATTCCAGCGAGAATCCCATTTCACTTGAAATGGTCTCCGCGACTTGCAAAAATGCCACCAAAATTAATAAAAAATGCTTCCAAAAACCAAGATATGGTGCAAAAAAAGTCTGCCTATAAGTTTTTGTTATTAATATTATATAAGCAACGAGCAAAAGTGCTGTTTTCCCAAATATCAGCATATTTGCAAATGTGGGTTATAGGCTACAACAATCCAATAAACAATAAGTTAATAGGCTATTAGCATAAGTGACTTACATTTTAGACACAATATTGTCTGTTTTTCCTCTATTTTGCCAAACAAAAATAGTTCAAATCAGTCGAGCCATTGAGCGACTCTGAGCAACACAGATTCAGTTTCGTTGCTGAATGAATCCGCATTTTTGAATGAATCTTCTAATGAATGACTCACTCACTCACTTTCTCACTCACTCACTGACTCACTCACTCTCTCACTGACTGACTCACTCACTCACTCACTCACTGACTAACTCACTCACTCACTGACTCACTGACTGACTCACTCACTCACTGACTCACTCACTCACCCACTGACTCACTCACTCACCCACTCGCTGACTCACTCACCCACTCGCTGACTCACTCACTCACTCACTAACTCACTCTCTCACTGACTGACTCACTCACTGACTCACTGACTAACTCACTCACTCACTCACTCACTCACTCACTCACTCACTCTCTCATTGACTGACTCACTCACTCACTCACTCACTGACTAACTCACTCACTCACTCACTCACTCACTCACTGACTCACTGACTCACTGACTCACTCACTCACTCACTGACTCACTCACTCACCCACTCGCTGACTCACTCACTCACTCACTAACTCACTCTCTCACTCACTGACTCACTGACTGACTCACTCACTCACTCACTGACTCACTGACTGACTCACTCACTCGCTGACTCACTCACTCACTCACTCACCCACTCGCTGACTCACTCACTCTCTCACTCACTCACTCACTCACTCACTGACTAACTCACTCTCTCACTCACTCACTCACTCACTCACTGACTCACTGACTGACTCACTCACTCGCTGACTCACTCACTCACTCACTCACTCACTCACTCACTGACTAACTCACTCTCTCACTCACTCTCTCACTCACTGACTCACTGACTGACTCACTCACTCGCTGACTCACTCACTCACTGACTCACTCACTCACCCACTCGCTGACTCACTCACTCACTCGCTGACTCACTCACTCACTCACTCACACAAAACACAGACACATTAACACTCAAACAAACACAATGTGTATTCTCACATGACCAGTTCAGTGGAAGGTTTCACCAGCCTCCAACAAACTTCATGTGCTTTTCTCCTTCGTTTTCTTTGATTCAATCTTTCCGAGCTGCCTCCATTATATTAGTCTGCCAGTGTAATTACTGTAATGCAGTTTGTAGAGGAAACACTTCTAGTTTTGTCGTTTCAGAAACAGGCTCATGAAATGTCCTGTAATACAGGATATTATTTCCTCTCAAACATCCGATTAAAATGCCAATAAAAAGAGCAGGACGAGGAAAAAGACATTGACCGTCTAAAATACTTTCAGCTGTTGAATCAATGCGAGGATAAGAACTTAAGAACATTGGATGGTATGAATATGTGAATAGAACTGTATAATATATGTGTGTGTAATGATTTTGTATATATATAAATACACACATATGCATGTATATATTTAAGAAATATTTGCATGTATATACTGTTTATATATATATTAATTTATTCTAGAGTATACAGAATTATAAATGTCTCACATATAGCCTATATACAAATGCTTATTGATGCACTCATCTAAAAATAAACGAATAAAGCATAAAAACAAGTAAAAACGTTCCTTATCTTTATAGATGGAGATGCGCTCTCAGGACCAGGCTCTGACCCGTCAGCTGATGGATCTCCATGACGGCATTCAGGAGCTGAAGCAGGAGTGTGTGAAAGCCATAGAGGAGGAGGAGGAGGATGAGGAAGCTTGTTGGGACTCTGGGAGTGACGGTGGAGGGAGCAGTGTGTCGACCTTCTCAGGAGAGATGTGTTTTTACCCCTCCATCTCCTCCTTCAGCTCGTGTTTGAGCCCTGCTCCTCTATTCCTGCAGGAGCGGGCCTTTAGTCGACGCAGCTCTGTGCCCTGAAACCTCACGTGTGTTTGACCAATACACATCTTACATTACCGCTGAGTCTCTCAGAAGAACAAATGATGCATTCCTTACGTGAGAAGTTTCCTACTGTATTATTGGACGATGTACAGGAGAAACTCGAAAAATTAGAATATCGTGCAAAAGTTCATTTATTTCAGTAATTGAACTTATAAGGTGAAACTAATATATTATATAGACTCATTACATGCAA